ATGATAGATAGATAGATGATAGATAGATAGATAGACAGACAGATAGACAGACAGACAGACAGACAGACAGACAGACAGATGATAGATAGATAGATAGATAGATAGATAGATAGACAGATAGACAGATAGACAGACAGACAGACAGACAGATGATAGATAGATAGATAAATAGATAGATAGATAGATAGATAGACAGACACAGACAGATAGGCAGATGATAGATGATAGATAGATGATAGATAGATAGATAGACACAGACAGATAGGCAGATGATAGATGATAGATAGATAGATGATAGATAGATAGATAGATAGACAGACAGACAGACAGACAGGCAGGCAGGCAGATGATAGATAGATAGATAGATAGATAGATAGATAGATAGATAGATAGACAGACAGACAGACAGACAGATAGGCAGATGATAGATAGATAGATAGATATAGATACATGATAGAGATGATAGAGATACAGAGATATAGATTCTCTCTCTCTCTATCTGTATCGTAAGATCACAATAAATAGATAGTGATCAGAGAGACAAACACAGATAACATGATAGGTGGAGGGATAGAGATAGAAAGAGATACATAGATAGAGATGATAGTTAATAGATATAGACAGAGAGAGGAAGGAAGGAAGGAAGAAAGAAAGAAAAAGAGAGAGAGAGAAAGAAAGAAAGAAAGAAGGAAGGAAGGAAAGAGAAAAAGAAAGATAGAGAAAGAAAGAAAGAAAAAGAAAAAAGAGAAAGGAAGGAAGGAAGGAAGGAAGGAAGAAAGAAAAAGAGAGAGAGAAAGAAAGAAAGAAAAAAAGAAAGAAAGAAAGAAGAAAGGAAGGAAGGAAAGAGAAAGAAAGATAGAGAGAGAAAGAAAGAAAGAAAGAAAGAAAGAAGAGAAAGAAAGAAGGAAGGAAGGAAGGAAGGAAGGAAGGAAGAAAGAAAGAAAGGGAAGTCTGGGATGGCAGAGACTTGGCTAAGAATCAGGCAAATGATCTGAGCTCATGACAAAGAATGGGCCTGGCTTTTAAACAACTTCCTTTCATTCTGTGGGGCATCTCTGACCCTGATTAGTTGCCACTTCCGGGACTCGGTCTTCCTAACCTGGCCTGTCCTCCTACCTGCACCCCCCTCCCTCTGTGCCATCTCAGCAGCCACTGCCGTTCCCCCCCCCCTCACAGCCGCCTTGCAGGGTTTCTGGCTGCCCCTTGGGGTCCCTTCCCAGCACCCTTCCAAGGTCAGGGAGGGGAGGGGTCTCGGCCACGATGTGTGACGCACAACACGGGTTACCTTTCACCTCCGCTGGCGGGGTTAGAAGGGGGAGCCGCTTCCCTGGAGGGTCTCTTCCCGCTTCCCCAAGCCCCACTCCCAGTTGGGATAGCATCCCGAGGTGGGAATGGCCCCCACCCCAGGGGCCCCTGCGTGGGCCCTTCCTTCTCCCTTCTGCAGTTGGACCCCCAGGCCCCCTTGCAGAACCTCCCCCAGGCCGTCGGGAGGCTCTGGGTCACTCCACACCATGCTGGCTTCGTCTGGAGATTCCCTCCTTGGGGGAAGATGTCGGCCAGCCTCCCACCCGTCCCGGTTGCAGAACAGGGTTTATGGGACAGCAGACCAGAGTACGGGCCGTCCTCAACTTATAACCACGAATGGGTTCAAAATGTATGTTGCTAAGTGAGACATTTGTTAAATAGGTTATGCCCCATTTTATAACTTTCCTTGCCACCGTTGTTAAGTGAATACTCGGTTTTCCCCCAAAATACAACCTACCCTGAAAGTAAGCCTTAGCTTGATTTTTACACGTGCACCCAATATAAGCCCTACCCCAAAATAAGCCCTACTTAAGATCCCACCCACTCCAGAGTGCAGAGGTAAAAATTAAGCCAGGCTGGGGATGGAGGGGGTGGAGCTGTCCTACTACTTACCTTTGGACAGGTGTAGCCAGGCCTCGCACGCCCCAACACCTGCCTGGGCCAGCCCATTTCTTCTGCAGCCGGCAAGGCTGGCCAGGCTTTCTGGAAGGCCTCTGGAGCGGAGAACAAAGCTCTGGATCGATCCAGAGCTCTATTATGGGATGCAGAGGCCTTCAGGAAAGCCTTACCAGCTGCAGAAGAAGTTTCTGAAGGCCTCTGACAGTGAAAAGGAGGCCGGAGGACGACGCACGCAAGTGAGGTTAGTCAGTGGATGACATCCCCTGAAAATAAGACCTGGTGCCTTTTTTGGTGGGGAAAAAAATATATAAGACAGGGTCTTGTTTTCGGGGAAACACGGTATCATGATTGTTAAGTGAATCAGGCTTCTCCATGGGGCTGTGCTTGTCCAAAGGTCACCAAAGGAAACCACGAGGTGGTCATTGTCCCCTTTCTTTCAGGGCCGTCGTAAGTTCGAATGGTCCTTGACCGTCCCTGGAGGCTTGGGGTGTCCTTGGTCCCTAGGAGGCTGGCCTGGCTCCTTGGTGAGGAGGGCAGCTTCCCGGCCCTCTTAAGTCCTGAATCAGGACATGGCTGTTTCCCAGGAGCTAAAGACCCCCCCCCCCAAAGACCCCCTTTCTGGCTGGGAAGGCCTTCCCGCCAGGCTCCGCCTCTGCTCCAGTCCCTGCGGGATGCAAGAAGCAAGAGCGGATTTTAATGAACTCAGAGAAAGAGTCCTTGGGTGAAAACCCTAAAGGGGGAAACAACCCAAGAATCTCGGGAAGCTCTGAAAAGGATGCGCATAAAAGCCCAGGCCAGCACAATGCAACTGAGGAAGAAGGAGCGGCAGCGGCGGCGGTAGCACGTGGCTCTGGCGCCCCCTAGAGGTACGATGACAGCACACGGGTTGAATCGCTCTGTTTTTTCTTCCCCCTCTGGCTGGACGGGTCCTGAGAACGGGGACAAAGGAGGAGGGGGGCCGTTTGGGCACGACCGAGGTTCGCCCCTCACGGGCAGGTGGCCTTATAAAAGAGCGGGTCTTTGCAATAGGTGCAGATACCTGTAACTCAGGTGTAGGGTGAGGAGGAAGGCTCCTTCTTTGAGCTGGTGGTTGGTTTCCGGATATTTCATTACCTGGGTAGGTAACATTTTTAGGGCAGGGGTCTCCAAGCTTGGCCCCTTTAAGACTTGTGGACATACGATTAGAACGAGGGATAGAACGGGGAGTGCAACTTAGTGAAATGTTTGTGAATAAAGTAAATGAAATAAAATAAATGAGAAAATTGAATTAGGAAGGAATGGGAACACTTTAATTAGTCAATATTTTGTAAAATATAAGTGAAGACGGGGGGAATTGATTATGGAAAGCTAATAATTGTTCCCATAGAGGTATGATATTTAATTGAAAAGTAACGTGAAAAATCTTAAAGACTTTAATGAATTTTAATATTAATGATAGAATTGAATTGGAATGGAATGTTGTTTTAATTATATACATTTATAATTTTTTCTTTTTTTCTTTTTAAGAATACTGTGTGTAGTTTAAGAATGTACCAAGCAGAATCCGAATGGAAGCTATGTGTTATATTGAGTGTTATAACTTTAGTGGGAAGATATAAAGGCGTCATACTCCAATCAGTAACTACAGGAGAAATTTTGTTTAATGAGAAAAGATACTAGACAATTGAAACAGGACAGACAAAAAATATAAGTACAATGATTTGAATTGAGATGAAATAAATACAATAAAATTGAGGACATTAAAAGAGGGGAGAAGAAGCTATGTAGAAAATGTAAAATAGTAATAAGATATGGAATAGAATATAAAAATGAGCATGAACCTGAAATAGTGTCTGCATGAAGAAATGTAACCCGGGATTATGTTGCTTTCAAAAAAGATGTTTTAATTGTGTTTCTTTTCTTTTTGTGAAAACTCAAATAAAATTTACAAAAAAAAAAAAAAAAGACTTGTGGACTTCAACTCCCAGAATTCCAGCTTTGCTGGCCGAGGAATTCTGGGAGTTGAAGTCCACAAGTCTTAAAGGGCCCAAGCTTGGAGACCCTCCCTGGTTTAGGGGATATCCATGTTCTTCTGTTTATAAGGGCTGCAGACGTGGGTGGGTCAAGTGAGGATCTTGTGGTGGGTCAGCGGTGAGTCGTCAGCGAGTCTCGCGATGGATCTTTGTCTGAGATGGTATAGGTTGTCCTGCCTGAGCAGAGGGATAGGCTAGAAGACCTCCAGGATCCCTTCCAGCTCGATTCTATTCTAAAAGAAGGAGATTGCGTCGGGTCCTTGGGAGGTTGAACTGCTGTTGAGGAAGGGTCTTGCGTGGGTTGGTTGAGGGTTGGCGCTGTCTCTGGTTGGCTGTGCGGTTGATTTGGGTTCTGGGGATGTGGTGGGGTTATAGAAAGGGTCTCTCTGCAGGGTTGGGACGGAGACGCGATGGCGCCAAACTGACCTGTTTTGTCCTAAAGCTCCTTTTCCCTCTGTTGTTCATGAAAACTGAGGGCACAGAGGGGAAGCCCCCACGTGGCCTCAACAACTCTCAGAGGGATATAAAGTTATAACTATAAATCCTTCCATCCTCCACCCTTCTGTCAGAACGGAAGAAGCTTCTTGGATGAGGAGCGCAACGTCTTCAAGGAAAAACGTAGGGAGTTAGTTGGATTTTGGGGTGGGGGGAAACAAAGCACCTTTGGGAGAGGGGTTTTCTAAATCCTTTATGGGGAGAGAGAGACCCTGCAAACAGAAACAGCCCTACTTGCGGGAGAGAAGGAAGGCGGCCCTTGCGAGGATCCCAAGAGATGCCGAGGGGGCATCTCTTGCCTTCTTCTTTGGTGGGCCTGGGGCTCCTTCCCCGTGGTGGAATCCAGAGTCCTGGGAGGGTTGGGGTCTCCTTCCAAGGAGGCCAAAGAGCCGGAAGTGTCTGGTGGGCCCAAACAGAGCAAGGACAGGCCCTGCCTCACCAGCCTGGAGCCTAAAACGTAGGAAGGCCGGCTGCAGGATTTGGATTGGGATAGTCTAGAGCAGGGGTCCCCAACCACCGGGCCCCGGACCGGTACCAGTCCGTGGATCATTTTGTACCGGGCCGCAAAGAAGTGGGCGCCGCCATCTTGTTTCGACGGCGCTTGAGAAAGTGCTTCTGGGTGAGCTTGTCGGTCGTCGGTTGTTGGAAAGCGGCGTTTGGGTGCTGAAGGAATCCTCCTCGCGCCTTAGTTTCGTCGAAGTGGGGTGGTGGTGGCTTCGAACGAAGAGCTGTCCCGATGGCGGTGGAGTCTCGCGTTACTCAGGAGGAGGTTAAGAAAGAGCCCGAAAAGCCCATCGACCGCGAGAAGGTACAAAGGAGGAGTTGAAGGTGGCGGGGAGAAACGGGGGACGGCTGGCTGGCCGGTCGCTCGGCTCGCCTTGCCTTGGTCGTGTGCGTGCTGATGCCGGTACCGGTCCGTGGATCATTTTGTACCGGGCCGCAAAGAATGAATAATCGTGAAACTGGTCCCTGGTACAAAAAAGGTTGGGGACCCCTGGTCTAGAGAAAAGGAGGAACGTGATAGCAATATTTCAATAGTTGAGGAGCTGCCCCAAAGAAGAGGAGGAGGGGCTCCGATTATTCTCCAAAACCCCAGAAGGCAGGAGAAGAAACAACGGATGGAAACTCATCCAGGACACCTGGAACTAAGGAGGAATTTCCTGACAGTCAGAACAATTAACCAGTGGAACTGTTTGCCACTAGAAATTGTGGATGCTCCATCACTGGAGGTTTTTAAGAAGAGAGTGGAATGGTCTAGGGTTTCCTACCTGAGCAGGGGGTTGGGCTAGAAGACCTCTAAGGTCCCTTCCAGCTCTATTGTGCTTCTGATGCAGTTGACAGAGGAGAGGTCTAGTTATGCAGATAATTGCTTTAGTCCGGCAAGAGTCTGTCCTTAGGCGAACCACAATACAAGCGGCAACCACAATTGAGCCCCAAATTGCCCTGGAGTTGACAGTTGTTAAGTGAGTTTTGCCCCATTTTATGACCTTTTTTGGCCACTGTTGTGAAGTGAATCGCTGCAGTTGATCGGTTGTTAAACCCAGTTGTGAAGGGAATCCAGTTCCCCCATCGGCTTTGCTTGTCAGGAGGTCACAAAAGGGGATCATGCGATTCCCCCGGGGACTCCGCGGCCGTCGTAAATACAAAACAGTCGCCAAGTGTCTGAATTTGGGTCACGTGATGCCGGGGCTGCTGCAACGGTTGTAGGTGTGAAAAAATGGCCATAAGTCCCTTTTTTTTCAGTGCCATTGCAACTTTGAACAGTCGCTGAGTGAACTGTTTGTGAGTCAAGGGCTGCCAATAGAGGAACTACTTAGAAGAAACTCCACGTGTCGTTACTGGTCCCTGAATTTCTCACAATCCCTGTTGGATCCCATGCAAGCCAGCATAGGTCGTGTCAGGCCCCTGTCGGAATCTGATTCCGGGGGCGGGGCGGGAGGTCAAGCAGCTGACAGGGAGTGGGAGTGGGGCTCTGGTGGCTGTGGGGGAAACTGGGGGAGGGCAAAGTCCGCCTGGGCATTCAGAGGAAGATCCCAGGCCCACCCCGTCTTCATCCTAGGGCACACAGGGAGGAGCGGATAAGGGAGCAACGTGAGTTACGGGTGAGAAAAGGGCCCTGATTCCCTCCATTGGTTGCATCTGGGAAAATAGGATTGAAAAAGGGTGTTTGTGTACAGCACCTTGCTGGAAGCAAAGCATGAATTATCTTTGTTTGTCAAGTCTTATCTGGGTTCCAGCGTCCTCCCAACTGTGTGAGTTTTGTTATCTTTTGACGTCTTCAATCCCTTATCCTGCCCAGTTTCGTTAATTGTTGTGTTGGTTTTTATTTATATTTATATGTACTTTGGGTTTGGATGGAATTTCTTCCGTTTAAAACCTGTTCTTTGGAGAGTTTTCTCTCCAGCCGGTGATAACTGGACACTGGAGGCCAAGTTGGAGGCCTTAAAGGGACTTTACCTGCTTTGCGGACTTGGTTGCTTTTGTGCCACGCCCCGTTGGGTCAACACAGGTGGCTGCCTTCCAGCGTCATGCTTTCGTTTCCTTTCTTAGCGCCGGCTGGACCACGAGATGTTATTCCCTTTTACGACCTTTGTGGCCACAGCTGTGAAGTGAATCGCTGCAGTCATTAACTTAGGAACACGGTTGCTAAGTGAATCCGCCTTCCCCATGGCCATTATTTGCCAGAAGGTCGTAAAAGGGGATCCCGGGAAACTGTAACCGTCATAAATGCGAGTCGGTTGCCATAGTCTAAATTTTGATCGTGGGGGAGGCTACAACGATGGTAAATGTGGAAAAACGGCCATGAGTCCCTTTCTTCGGTGACGTTTTCATTTTGAACCGTCACTAAATGAGTAGTCATAAGTCAAGGACTACCTGTGCGACAGAAGGAGACTTACTACTGCAAGTAGAATAATGAATGAGGAAACCGTCTATGTGCAAAAGAAGGACGTCCTGTCGGAAATGCGTCTCGTTTTTATCCCAGGTGGTCGTTCCTTCACTTCTTCACCTGCCCCACGAATCTTCCCGGTCATTTTAGGAAGACGGGGAAAAGGAGGAAGGAAAAGAAAGGGGGGAGGGGGGCTCAGACCATCCCCAAGGGCCTTGTCTGGGTCTTCACACCTGTCCCCAGGTGGAGGGGGGGGCAGAGAGGAAGCCCGGCAGCATCCTGGACCTTGAGCGGCAGGTGCTCCAGGTGGCCACAGGGGGGCAGCCTTGCACCTCAGATGGCAGAGCTGGATCCAGAGGGGGGGGGGGGGGG